AAAAAAAAATATAATAACAGCTTTTTCCCTTTATTCTCTTCTAACCTTTTCTATCTAACTATCTTAATTATTTATCTATTACTCTATATATTTTCCTATTATCTATCTATTATCTATCTACTTTTTATTCTATCTATTCTATCTATCTATCTTTTTATCTAATTATCTATCTATTACTATCTATTATCTATCATCTATCTATCTATCTATCTATCTATCTATCTATCTATCTATCCATCTATATCTCATCTATCTATCTATCTATCTATCTATCTATCTATCTATCTATCTATCTATCTATCATCTATCTATTATCTATCTAATCTATTAATTAATCTATCTTTTCTATCTATTTACTATCTATTCCTACTACTATTATAAATTTATTATTATCTATTATCTATCTTTTTCAATATCTATCTATATCTATCTATTATCTATTATATTATCTATCTATCTATCTATCTATTATCATCTATCTTTTATCTATTCTCTCATCTATCTATCTATATCTATCTATCTTTCTATCTATATCTATATCTATCTATATCATCTATCTATCTATCTATCTATTATCTATCTATCCTATATCTATTATCTATCTAATCTATCTATAATATCTATCTATCCTCATCTATCTATTATCATCTATTATCTATCTATCTATCTATCTATCTATCTATCTATCTATCTATCTATCTATCTATCTATCTATCTATTATCTATCTATTATCTATTATATATCTATTATCTATCTATTATCTATCTATCTATTATCTATCTATTATCTATCTATCTATCTATCTATCTATCTATCTATCTATCTATCTATCTATTATCTATTATCTAATATATTATCTATCTATTATCTATCTATTCTATCTATTATCTATCTATCTATTATCTAATCTATCTATCTATCTATCTATCTATCTATCTATCTATCTATCTATCTATTTATCTATCTATCTATCTATCTATCCTTGTTATATCCATATGTTTTCATTATTTATTTTTTTCCTCAATCCATATAGATTTTTACATTGTGGTAGCGTGTGGCTCTGTGTTCATCATTGCAGTGCCTCTCATTTACAATCGCACCCCAACACACCATTACAGTATCAAGTGACACCCCTGTCCTGTACCGCACCACATAATAGATGTGTCATGGCGCACTGCATTAAATAAGGAGTCATTTATGTTGTTTGGGCCGTTGCCATTTGTTGTGTAGAACTCCACAAGGACCTCAAAAGTCTGAAGCCAGACTAAGAGCCCACTTACCCTCCCCTACAGTGTCAAAGTCCAGGCCAGAGAGATGGTGGGGCATCTCTGCAACCCTCCTACAGATTTTATAGTGTTGTGGTCAGTGATGGGGTGGCATCAAGGTGTTTTAGACATCATGCTGAGACTTGTAGTCCCTCTGCAGCCGAGGCATTCATCTGCTGTCCCCAGTCTTCGCTGTTCACCTTTAATTCCCAGTTTGTATGGCCTGCTCGTAGGAGAGTCTACCAGTGGAAAGTCATTAGACGCTATGAAATATTTATGGGTGTAAAATGTAAAGTGTTTATCACTCAGCGTGGGACGGAGTGAAATATAGAGACAGACCTGTACAACTATGGGGGATAATGCAAATGATTCCGGCGACAGGCAAACAATTAGCGAGGTGATCATTTTCATCAGCACCGTATGACTCTCTTCCTCTCCTGAAAACGCCATTTACCACTCTGGGTGTTTCTTTGTGTTCTGATAATCATGTCGTCTGATTGATCTGCAGGAATTTGACAAAACAAAGGAATACAAAATCAAATCAATGCAAAACAGACAAAAAAAAATTGTAGCAGCATTGAAAGTTGTCTGACGGAATCACCTATGACAACGGATCCCGGAACAATTCTCTTTGCAGAGGAGCTCTACGGATATCAGAGAGACAAGTTTATAATTCTGATTAGTGAAATCATTTTTCCATTGTAAGCACCCAGATCCCCCCACATTTCCTGGGATCGGTCAGATCTGGCCCATTTTCCCAGACTCTAAATCAAATCAATGCAAAACAGACAAAAAAATTGTAGCAACACGAAAAGTTGTCTGAGGGGATCACCTATGACAATGGATCCCGGATAAATTCCCTTTCCAGAGGAGCTCTATGGATTTCAGAGGGACGAGTCAGTCACCAGAATATAGATATGAGATGGGTATAGAGGAACGCCAGGTAATAAAATTCATATCACTCAAGAGTCTATTTGAAATATTTATTGATCCAGGTTAACAAGAAAAGTCAATGCATTTCAAGGGAAAGGCATCCCTCTTCCTCCGGGCTGTCAGATCTTCTCGTAGTGATGGCATGGCATGGGACAGGTGTTGGCATTTAAACTTGAAATGAATGACAGGAGGTGTGACATGTACAAGGTGTTTCCGTGTAACACGCTGGCTTTACTTGTCTCATCTTGGAGCAATAAAAATTTCAAATAGACTCTTGAGTGACATGAGCTTTTATACCGGGTGCTCCTCTGTACCCATCCCAGAGTCTTTTGTTGAGCATCCTCTTTGTCTCTATCAGAGAGGTAGCAGCCTGGGAACATAACAAGGTCCACCTACACTGCACCTTTATTGGGTATTAACCCCCCAGAGGACTTACTATATAGTGTATCCACCAATACCAATTCAAGAAGAGGAGATTAATAGGGGATATGATCTCCATGTATAATACATAAGGGGGGATATGATCTCCATGTATAATACATAAAGGGGGGATATGATCTCCATGTATAATACATAAGGGGGGATATGATCTCCATGTATAATACATAAGGGGGGGATATGATCTCCATGTATAATACATAAGGGGGGGATATATGATCTCCATGTATAATACATAAGGGGGGATATGATCTCCATGTATAATACATAAGGGGGATATGATCTCCATGTATAATACATAAGGGGGGATATGATCTCCATGTGTAATACATGTGTTGTGTTGTGGAAGAGCTTGAGTTTTACCCCATGTTACTCATTGAACGCACCAAGCAAGCACGCAACTACACACTACATAAGCGTGTCAGTGCACCACAATACACAGATGGTAACTATCTCTGTATTGTCCTACACTGCTTTAAAAAAAAAAAGGTGTATAAAAATGTGCATTTGAGGCTCATTCAAAAAATAAATAGGCTGCCTAACTTTATAAGGGGGCTACCGCAGAGCATTTTTCACATAAGGCTGAAGTTGGGTTTGCATTCATTAGCAGTTCGGTGGAACATATTGGACGTAAGGTTACTGGAGAATTAGTATTGGTATTGTAGGTATATGTGCCATCTTGTCCCAAAGGTAATCACAAATGCAACTTTATCTGCACTCAATAGGGGGGGAATTTACTAAAAACTGGATCACTGAGAATCTGGTGCAGCTTTGGCATTGGAGCCAATCAGATTCTAACTTCAGCTTGTTCAATTAAGCTTTGACAATAAAATCTGGAAGATGATTGGTTTCTACGCAGAGCTGCACACAAATTTTGCACTCTCCAGTTTTAGTAAATAACCCCCAATACCTTTGTACAGTCTCCCATTAAAGACTACATCCATCATACATGTAATTAGGGTCACTTTACAGAGTTACATACAGGGGTGGACTGACCATTGGGGAACTGGGGCACTGCCCGAAGGCCCGGGGACAGTAGAGGGCCCCATGAGAGGTCCCTGGTACCTTTTATAGACTTTTTTGGGTGTGTGGTTTGAGTGTGGGCAAGGACACAGGGGCCCCATGATCCCCTATTGCCCGGGGGGGCCCCATGAGTTGTCAGTCCACCCCTGGTTGCATAGTTAGTCTGGCTGAAAAAAAGTCCATCCAGTTCAACCATAGAAAAAAAAAAACAATACCCATAATAAAAATGTGATTGCTTCCCTAGGCCAACCAAGTCAGTTGGTCCCGTCACCAGAGTCCCTATCAAATCAGGGGTGTAGGCCACTGTGCCCCACACAAGTCCTGCACTTTTTCCTTTTATCTCCAGAGTGAGACCTTTCTTCTCAATATATGAGGATATAGGTGCAAAGGTCCTGCTATACCAGTGACACCAAAACAGTGGGACTTAGAGGGCTAAACCCTTAGAAGCCAGAACTGGTCTGGTGGAAGTGGTAGGGGCCTACCTAAGAAATATATTTGCCCTGTGCCCACCTGATTCTTGAAACAGCCCTGCTCATGCCCTGAGCTCCTAATGTATTGTTTTAAATTTTTAATTAATTCGCCATTGAAAAGTACCAGCGGGTCCCTTGTATAAGGTAGTCAAGGTTTCTGCTCACTCTCTATGCCAACGTCCTGTGGCTTCTGATGGCTGCTGTGACCACGCGCTCTGTAAAGTAGCACTTACATCCAAATTACAGGCGTCTTACCTACAAGAGAAGGCTTTCATTACAGAAACGTATCATTTCATGTCTGGAAATATACGGCTCATCCGCCCATTTTATATATCCTGTTAAAAACAGAAGATTTATGTTTATGGATCATAAATGACAGAGGCCAGTTCATGAACGTTTGGAAGATAGGTTGCACAATAATGCGGCTGACTGGTTCATCTGGCCAGCGCTGGTTCTGTTTCCCTTCATCCAGCAGTAATTAATGAGATCCAATAACATTTCATCAGCTGCAATTCTCTGTTGTGACAAATTCCCATAGCACAAGTTCTTTTGATGTTTTTGGACTTTGTGCTC